AACATTTTTCTCACTGCTTTAGATTCTTATTACCTTCCTGTTTTCATGTTATAGATTACTTTTGTACCCAGTACTGAAGGGCTAAACTTGAAAAGAATTTCATTTAAAGTGTTGTTAACTTTTTTAAAAAAGCTATCCATTTGTTTTAAAGGAATGTTGAATTAACTCTCAGGTTTGGTGACTTAACCCAAAGGGACTCATTTACAAACCACTTTTCTGTCATTTGTCTCTCAAACAGAACTGCTTTTTAATCCCCAAATTTTAGCAGCAATTTCAGGAGGGTTCACCGAGAAATCGCTGTCATTTCTTGTCGAAACTAAGCACACATTTTATACCTTTTCTTTTATTTCAATCCAGTTAATCAGACTAGTGAGATAACCAGGAATAGGTTCACGGTGTGGTTTTGGTTGAAACGTTAAAATACCGTTTGTTTCCGTGGATTTGTGCCAGATCTCATGCGGCGGACTGCGTGCCCGATGTCCAGTGTCACATTCTGACTCTGCACATCTGATATGTGACTAACTCAGGTTACCAGCGTTCAATATTTCGTCCACGCCGTTTTAAATATTTCCCCCGATTGAGTCCCATTCGGTGTGTGCTGCTTGGAATGTTTGAGCATTTTCTTTCTTGAAGAATTTCCCCTTTGTGTTAATACAGTCCATGTTGGGTTTTTTTTTTTCTTCTTATTCTTCTCCCTTTGGACTCCATCCTGCCGTGCACATTTCCATAAACACTGCACGCCTCACAAATCACTTCAAACCTCGGTGACTTGTGAAGGCAACCTTAAGTGGGCTGAACACTTAAACCATGATTCACTTTGCAATGGATAGAACATGCTGTGTGCCGGAGAAAAAGTGTCTGTGTGCGTTTGCAGCCTACTGCTCATAACTTTACATATTTATTAAATCATACCAGCTCCACTTCTTATCCCCCCCCCCCCACCCTGATTAAAACAACCTCAGCTAACAATCCCTGTGCTGAATATTCGCAGGCCTTTGCTATCAAACTGCAGTTTTTTTCTTTAAATGAGGGCCCCATTCTCCCCCCCCACACCACACACACACACACACACACAACTTGTTGTAAACCCCCGTCAAATTGGGTCCCTGCATTAATTCGACCCTACTAAGCTAATAAGGTCGAACAAGTCTCTTTGTATTGTGCCGTTGAGCTTTATTGCTTGTCGTTTTGACCAGCGACGGACAAGCGAGGCTTTGATGAGGGAATTAGTCCCCCTTTTTTTCTGTCCCTGATATTCATAGCGCCGCGGAGCGTCCGAGGAGCGGAGAAAGGGGTGTCAAAGGGAGAGCCGGGCCCATTGCAAAGTGTCTCCCTTGTCTGAGCTGAATGGGCGGTTATGAGACGATAAACCGCTTAATACACTGAGCTAATTGGATGAGAGCAAGAGAGACGGGGAATTAAGGGGCGAGCCGGGAGGGGAGCGCGGAGCCGTGGCCCCGCTATTCAGGGCTTTCATCCGGGCCCGTACAACCGCGTTAGAGGGGGGGGGGGGGGGGGGGGAGGCGGGGGGGAGGAGGATGAGGGTGTTCATCAAAGCGCCTTTTTAGAGCTCCACTCCCGGGGACTGAGTGAGGACCGATCCGGCGGAGGCTGTGGAGTGATTGGGCCTATTCTCTGAGGTAGGGACGTGGTGGGCGAAAACGAGGCCCGGGAGAATCCAAATCAGGGGCCAAATCAAGTCCAACAGCTGGCGGAGAGAAAAGCAGCACCAAAAAAAAAAAGAAAAAAAAAGAGGTGATGAAAATGGGTAGAAGAGCCAGTGGGAGGACATTTCAGGACACCTGGGTTTACCTGAGAGGCATTTAGACCCAGAACCTAGACTCAGTCCCCCCCAAATCGCCTGGATTTGTCCTCCTTATTTATTTATTTTTTTTTACAAGCGATTTACAAGCAAAGCGGCTCGTGATTGGCCAGTTGTTCCAATTCCCTTTTTTCCCCCCCGCATCAACATTCATTACCCTGATCATTCATGCAATAACGAGCCTCCTGGCACCTAATCCTAAACACAGAGCCGGCCGGAATAAAAGAGCACACATCCAACAAGTGTGACTTTATCAATCCGGAGCCGCTGGCCCTCGACAGCATTTCAATTTTCTCGCCTTTTTTTGCGCCACAAAGAAAGTTTAAACCCCGCGCCCAGCGGGTCACCCGCCTCCTGGCATTCCCCAGATATTAGGGACAAATTGGTTTGCTATTCATTAGTTATATTCACAATAAGATTAAAAGTCCCCGGACCATCTCGTCTAAACCCTGCAGGCCCGTACAGGGGAGAGCACGCTCCACTGGCTGGGAGCAATGGCCATTTTTATAACACACACATCCCAGACCAGCGCACTGGAATATTTCTTTTGATTATATTCTATATATATAGAGATATCTTTTCCCCTTGATCAATGTATTTTTTTCTTCTTCTTTTGAGCAGCTGTGAAGCCCACCTGACAGTGCTGGGACAGATAATTGAACGTGCGTCCATCGGTCCCATCTGATCCTTTTCGGGGGGTAAATGGAGTCATTAACAGGTACCGGCCGCGCAGACCTGTAAAACCCCAACGCTAAAGGAATTAGAGAAGGGGCTTTCACCGGCTCAGACAAAAAAAAAAAAAAAAAAAAAAAAAGAGGGACTACATTAATCCGCGGGGTAATTTCACGCGATTTGCTCGGACACCATAGACGGGCCAAACGGGGGAGAATAAGCATTGATTGCTGTAATAGTCCCGAATCAGCGGTGAGATCCAGTCGAGAGGGGAGATTTGGGGGGAATTAACTCTGCGAGGCTGTGTGTGTGTGTGTGTGTATGTGTGTGTGTGTGAGAGAGAGAGGGAGAGAAAGCCGTTTGATGAAGTGGTTTGTTACTTCATTAATGACAAAGGGGACTCTCTTGCATCGACACGGCATTACAGATGTTAAGACTCATTTAGCGCCTTAAAGGGGTTTTAAAGGAAGTTTTGTAGCGGCCCCCCGAGATAAAGTGGGCGATCTAATTGAAAACCCCTTGCCTTTGTCGCGCGTTTCACACGTTGAGGATTAGGCTCATGAATATATGGTTAGTATTTTGTCAACTGCGCTGAAGAGGGGAGCCGCACGCAGCGGGATTAGAGGCCGCGCAGGTGGAGCTGCGCACCGGCGCGTTCACGCGCTTTTCCCCTCTCTTTTTCCCTCCTTTCACCGGCCTGCAGGCATCCCGGACACCTGCCACATTCCGCAAGACACTTTAGTTCATGTTCATCAGATTCTTTTTTTTTTTTTAAAGGAGGCCCCATAAAGGGAAATTAGCGTATTAATGTTTCTTCTTCAATTTAAGACAGAGAGCCCATCTTTTTCATAACACTTTTTATTTATAGTTCTATAATAGTCTATTTCGCATTGATTCTTTTTTCTTGGTTTAGGCATGTCAGTCCTAATTAGTTAGAAATAATAAAAGATAGCTCATTTTACCAATGTAATTTATTCAAATTAGCATTATTAAACCAGGAAACGTACAATCACTTAAGAAAAAAAAAAGAGAAAAAAAAATACGCCCCTCACTCATTTCCTGGAGAAAACGTTTGACATAAATAATTATCTAAAAATCTAGTAATTCATAAACACATGTATAATTCTACACAGGCTGACATTCATTGAACACTACACGGAGTGCAAATTATCAAAACACGGTCTCTTCAAATATACACGACCCTGTTTTGAAAATCATCCTTTTTTTGTCTTATTTTTCCCCTCCTTTCTTCTTTTTTTTTACACAGTATGTACAGTTTTTCTCACACAGTCAGGTCGTTGTGGACACACGTCTCCGTGTCGCGCTGACCTGTCCTGTGGTCAGACTCAGCTGGAGCACCACTGCTGCGGTATTAAAGGGGGGAGGACTATGTCGCAAATTTACAGAAATCTCTCACTTATGTGGGAGCAAAAGAAGGTGAGTGTAAACTTTAAAAAAAAATGAGGCAGAAAGTGTCGCTGCTGAGTCTGACCGGGGGACAGGTCAGTGGAGGGACAGCAGAGAGGAGTCCGGCTCGTAGAGAAGGCTATGGAAGGTCTATGGACAGTTTTCCTTTGGTTCAGGGGGGGGGGGGGCTCCTCCGACTCACCTTCGAAATGCAGACTTGCTCAGCCCACATCTATGCATACAGGTTCAGCAGTGGTAACGTCAAGCGCGCGTGCTCTCCACGGTTTAAGAATCCTTTCTGAAAAGTGTGGAGCTTCCCCGGTGGCTCTGCAGCTAGAACTGTGCTCGTGTGTGTTTGTGTGGGCAAAAACAGCTCTCTCACTTCAGTAACAGAAACCAAACGACTCGTTTGAACTGCCACAGTTAAAGTGTTTTTTAATTATTATTAATAAATATAGCAAACTAATCACAACTGGCATTGCTAAATGAAGAAAAATGAATAATGAGATATTGCTGTTGTTTAATTATGATAAAGTTACATGTTGTCTAACCTTTCCAGATACTGCATATGAGTTGGCTTTGTAGCAATATATTTTTCAGATAATTAGATATTTTGTATTTAAAATCTAAATTTGTAAATGGACCAAAAGGGAAATTGAAATGCTTAACAAAAACTCATCTTGTGCTTTAGTAAAATGTGCTTAGCTGTTTCCCTCCTCTTCTGGGTTTTCTGTTTTATGCTGTGCACACACACACTTTGTGTGTAACCTGTGAAAAAGCTCTAAACTGTTTTGAGTGACTGACAAGCAAAAAAGGGGAAAAAGGTAAATAAAAGCTGTAATTATCAGGCACACAAACACACACTTTTTTTTTTCTTTTCTTTTTTTTTTTAACCAGTGCTCTTTGAATTTGGTCGTGCTATTTTGTTGGGAAAATGTGAGGTAAGAGGGATTCTTGAAAAGGGCTTACATCAGGACATCAGTGTCCAGAGGTCTGACCGGGGCTCGGGCTTTTGGAAGAATGGGGGGGCGGGGGGGCGGGGGTGTCATGGAATGGGAGGCTTGCCCGGGACGTGGAGGCCTAGCGCTGGTGTGAGTGTTCAGCACACCTCCTTCCCCGTGGCTCCGGCGGGCAGGATGTTCAGCTGGGTGAGCTGGGCCGAGTGTTCCTTGGCCTTGAGGCGCAGGGCGGCGATGCTGGAGGCCCTTCGGTCGGCCGCCGCTGCTGAGGAGGATGAGGAGGCGGAGGAAGAGGACGGGTCGGGGAGGACGGAGCCGGCGTGGGAGGGGCTCTCCACGGGGGGCGCGGGCTGGCGGAGGAGAGCTGCGGCGGTGGAAGCACTGGTCAGGGGACCCATACTGGAGAAGAGCCTGAAAGCAGACCAGAATGGATCATCTGAAAACAAATAATCAGGTTTGACACATTTCAGCACAACAAAGCCGTTACATCTCTGAAACTCAAACAAACTCAGGACTTCACAGAGGCATGCTCTATCCTCCTGCTAGCAGAAACACAGAGCAGCCTTTTTAGCTTTCACCAAGTTATGCAGCTGTGTCTGTTTGTTCTGAGCAGATTCACATGGAAAAAAAATCTTAACATGGGTCTGCCTGCACAGATTTCTTTTTCCAGACCCAGATAAACGCCTGCACCCAGCTTTGTGTGGGCATCAGATATTTTTCGCATTACTTTGGTTTGGCTGTCTGCATTTAACTGTTCAATCTGGAGGTAGACTGCAGAGAACATGGTTATTAATGCCGTGTGCTGGAGAAGCTTATTGTGTGACACGGTGTGCCTACTGTCTCCCCCTCTCACACGATTTGCAGCATTGCATGTTTGGTTCATTTGTAAAGACGTTTGACAAAGTGATTACACACCACTGGTTAATAAATAGTGTAGCACATTTCTAATCAGACACTGAGATACAGTGTGACAGTCTCACTGAGGATTACTGTAAACATCTTCATCTTCAGCTGGAATGATGCTTCCGGATTTTAGTTTTTACGCCGTGGCTCTCCTTCAAAATATTTATGATTTACTTTCAAATACAGCGATAAATGTAAATGCTGAGCTGGCTGCTGGTCCTGCTGGTTCAGTGATAGTCGGGCTAAGGAGCTAAATGTACAAAGAACAGATCTTAGGTCCCCTGTGCATCCCTGTAGCTCACCTGCCAAAAGTGGGTCCGATGAAGGCAGGGTGGCGGAACATGGCTGCCGTTCCTAAGAAAGTGCCCAGGCCCAGCGGGGTGGCCAAAGGGGGGGTGGAGCCGTTGTGGGGCGGGGGGGCCAGGCCCGGGAAGGCCGCCGCCGCGGCTGCGGCCGCCGTCCAGGCAGACTCCAGGGCAGGGTGGGGATGAGGAGGGAAGGGCCCCCCTTCCAGGTAGTGGCTGAGAGGATGACCGGCTGCCAGCGGGCCTGGGAAGGGCAGGCCGGACGGGTGGGCCTGCACCCCGGCCTTCTCACGCTTCCTCCACTTAGCCCTGCGGTTCTGGAACCACACCTGGAGGAGGGAAGGGAAAAAAAGGGAAGGTTACCCAGAGATAGACGCCCAGTGACATGCTTTCAGTACACAGGTGTAGATCTACTAGCGGTCCTGCTTTGGTCAGATTGTCATTAGTGGGCTTCTCTGTGTCAGTGGAGTCCAGTACTGTTAGTTTGGATGTGTGAGCAACAGGCGGAAAGTCAGCCATAATTACATGCAAGGTATACCCCGCCGCTCAGGGCTCCTTAAATCTACTTTCTGTCTAATTAAAGCCCCCTCCCTGTATGGGCTTTTCGAGGTGGGGAGAGATAATTAAGAGCAGTGTTAACAAAAGGTCCCCAAAATTACCGCTGAACCGGCTCCAATAACAATTAATGCGCTTTAAATTAAATTCTTAAGAGAGCTAGAACAAGCGACTTCCATCCATGAGAGTATTTAACTTTCCCACGCATACACTGTTGCCCAGTTTGCCCTGCGAAAGCACGGGGCTCCCACAAAGCAAAATGTCAACATGTGGAAAGTGATTGAACGAGCGGGCATGAGCGACGCGGACACACACGCTCACACACACACACACACACACACACACACGCACGCACTATTCCCAGAGGGCTGTTTAGCATTACACAGCCCCTCGGGAATTTATGAGTTTTTATCACCTCCTGGTGGCGCCCGTTAAGTGATTTGTTCACCTACGGCCCCCTAAAGAGACATCTGTTGTTTTACCGTCGGCCATAACCTCCTCCGGCTCCCACCGTGTTTGAACTGTCTCTCTGGTTATGAGCCCGAGCTTTCGACATGCAAGCCACGCTTTCAGTGCAAAGCGGAGGGAGGGATGGAGGGAGGGAGGGAGGGATGGAAAGAGTGAGACTTGGGAGGGGAGGGGGGCAAACACCTTTAATGGTCTCTCATTCGCTCCCAAGTGCAAAGCATCGGATCAATGCAGGACTATTGCAATCACATAATGGGAAATCAAATAGCATTATCCCTCCCCTCTTTCTCTCCCTCCCTCCCCCCCTCCATCTCGCCCCAGTCGTGCTCGCACTCACACACACACACGCACACACACACGCACGCACGCACACACATTTGGTCCTCGCCCCCTATCTGTCCCCTCTGATGGGAATTCAAACACCACCTCATCCCAGGAATACAGACCGTGTTTGCTCCTGCACTAAGTGAGCCTTTTATGAATCGCCGGCGTCGGCTTAATTGCCACTAAAACGTTCCCTGTTCGCATGTAATAACATTCAATAACAGGAAAGACCTTCCCCGCACAGCGACTGGGGCCATTTAACACATTTTACTGTAATAAATTATTGCCTCGAATTGGCCCATAATCGTTGATCCTCAATCAGTGACGCATATCAGTGGTTATTATCAAGCACCGTCTACCTGGGAAACACTTTACAGACGATTGTTAAAACATTAGAGGATGTTGCTTTTCCCTTCTATCTGATTTACAAGGCGCAGGCTTCTCTTTTGTAGATAAAGGCAAATGGAGCCACTTACTTGGACGCGAGCCTCGGTCAGATCCAGACGCATGGCAAGCTCCTCTCTAAAACGAAAAAAAAAATCGGAATAAAAGAAAGAAAAAGACAGAGAGACAGTAAGAAACATTCAAGGTTACAGGCCACCATTTGGAAGCACGCAGAATTGCTGTTTTGTCCCCTCCTGTTGTTAACTGTCAACAATAGACGACCAAAATAGGCTGGATTTTTCCCCCTCTTTTTTCCGGCATGAATTGCAGAAAGACGCCATAGCCATATTCTATTTTCCCTGTCACGGATGGGTAGAAATAGGCCTAGTGATTGTTAGATTTTTCTTAGCCAAGGCCTGTCACTGTAACAACATAATGGTTGGAATAATGACATCTAAACTAGCCTGCCACAAAGCAATTGACGCTCCCCTCAGCTGCAAGATGGGCTGTGGACCAAATTAGACCTTAGAGTCGCCTTTAAGTAAATCGATTGGAAAATATGAATAATCCCTGCGCAAAAGACGTGGAAATGTAGCTTCTTGTGTCTTGTATGGGGGGTAAAAAGTCTTTATTTCCGAGGAGGATGAGGCGGATTTATCAATAACTAAAATGTTACTTTGGCAGAAAAATGTTTGCGAGTTTATTTGGTGTTGCTCCAATTTTAGGGAGTTTTGCTGGACGTTTTTTTTCATGCAAAAAAATCCTTAAAAACCGAATTTACGCGTGTGTCCGGCTGCACGTGCACACACACACACACACGTTCACACAGCTGCCCCGGGCTTCAGGTTAGGCCCTGACTTATTCTGCACGGTCTCAGGTCCAGCAGGCAGCCCGGCTGCTCCACTTAGCCCTGACCACAACAGCACTTCCGTCCGTGTCATCGGGAGAGGATACAGATTTCTGTTTTTATTTATTTACTACTTAAAAATATATATTTAAGAACCCGTCCTCGCGACAACGCTACTCCCAGACAGCCCTATTGTGTTCCTCTATTCGGAACACGGGTTTTCCTGTCCGGGAGCTTTATGAGAGGTGACCCGCACAGTGTCCGGTTACAGACTGTGGAATTACTGGGACCAGTTTAGGAAATTTTTATGGGCAAGGGAAGTGTTTATTTACAAATAAATGCAATCAATTATCACCTTTAATGGCATCAATAAAGAAAACATATAATTTTTGTAACCTTTTTTATATAAGTAATAATAAGTAATGATAATAATAATAAAAATAATAATGATAATAATAATTATTATTGTTCTTCTTGTTCTTATTATTATTGCTATTATTTGTACTTATGGTTTACAGGCCTGTGACCACTATTTCAATGTGACTGTGTAATATTTAAAAAAATGCTAATGCAGAAATATCGAATCAATATTTAAAATAATTTATATATTTAATTCAATAAATCCGGAAAAGTTTTTTATTTTTTAAAAATCGCATATATATTATTTTTAAGTGCATTTAGATGATCTGTTAACAAAGCCTTAAAGCCCAGCTGAAATGTTCTCACCTGGTGAAGACGTCCGGGTAGTGTGTCTTCTGGAAGGCCCTCTCCAGCTCCTCCAGCTGGTAGCTGGTGAAGGTAGTCCTGTATCTTCTCTGCTTCCGTTTCAGCATCCCCTCCTCCGAGTCGCTCCCCGCCGACAGACACACGCTGTCCTCCCCGTCCCTCACGTCCCCATCCCCGGCGTTCAAGCTCTCCCTCTCCTCGTCCTTCGGGGAGAGGGCGGCCGCGTCCCCGCAGCTCTCCTCCTCCTTCCCGGCGTCCTCCTCGAACTTCAGCGGGCCGAGCTCCACCAGCCCGAGGCTGCCGTCCTCCGAGGCCTCGCCGGGGCTCTCGTCGCCCTCCGCCCGGCTCAGCGAGCCGGCGTTCTCCCGGTAGGACTTGCTGCGGCTGATGCTCACCTGCGGCGCCTGGCTGATCTTGAGGCCGTCGCTGGCCTGCTCCAGGAGGAGCCGGTCCCGGTCCAGCTTGTCGGCGTGCTCGTGCAGGTACTTCCCCCCCGGGCCGTAGAGCCGGCGGAGCTTAGGGGGCAGGTGCATGTCGGCGCTGAGGGAGAGAGGCTCTTTCGTTGGGCCTTAGGAAGACGGGTGAAAAAAAAAATAGAAGAAAAACAAAACTAAATTAGAAACATCAAAACTGTACCCCGTAAAGAATTTGTTCAAATTTACGACAGGTGAAAATAATTTTAGGGTTGTTAACATTTGGTTCAGACGACATAACTAATGGGAATCGAATGGAATGACTTATAACACCTGCTTAAGACTGGCTTAAACAACTCGTGTTGACGCCCGGCCATTTAAAGAGTTTTAAGTCTAAACTAGAACCCTTTTTCCCCCCTACACCTGCCCATTAGTTCGGCATTACCAGTTTGAGCTATCTTTTCAATTATCGCTTCAAAGCAAACTCACCATCTGCCATCTTGTCAATCTCCCCTCTGCCGGGCAGACCCGTCAAAGTTTGTGCCCCGATGAGTCTGACCTTACAGGGGCTCCTGCGGCCCAGAATGCTGTCTATGCAGTAAGAAGAGAGCAGCGTTGGGGATTTACTGCTCTTCCTCTCTCCCCGCTCGCGGATATCTTCCTCAAACTGACCGCTCATGTCGACGAACTGCAGCTTCTTCTTTTCGGGGACGCCCTGTCAGTCTCGGTCTCCCCTTTTTTTTTTTCTCTTCCTTTCACGCTCGCGGGCTCGTGCCGGCTCGCGGACCTGTCCCTTCTTCTCGGGCCGGTGTGTGCTCGTTTCGAAGGGGCTCCGCTGGCTCCTGCACCGCTTCGTCTCCTCTTTTCCCCCTCTCCGCGGTCAGTAGTCGGTCACTCTCTCAGCTCCTGACGGACGGCGGTTCGGCCGCTGCTCTCCGCTCTGCCGGGGGCTTCTCAGCTCCGCGCGCTCGCTCCGCAGACGTGTAGGCTGTCACCGCGCGCCTGATTGGCTCGTGTGTGTGAGTGTGTGTGTGTGTTTGTGTGTGTATGTGTGTGTGTATGCGACGAGGGAGACAGCATGGAGCGGCTTTATATATTTTACCATTAAAGTTAATTTGAGGGAAAGGCGTCAAACCCCGTCGTGGAGTTGGTTTCTCACGCGGAACGAACTCGACGGGGGAAAAGTAGAGCTCGTGCACAACTCGACAAACCGTTTTATTAGACAGCAACGGTTTTAACGAGCATTTAAGTGACGTAGTTTGATAATGTTAACGCTCTGGTGACAGAGCTTCTACTAAAACAAACTAAATGTGTCTCATAACGCTGAACACGTGTGTAATAATCCTTCTTACAAGAGATAGGAAAAGTAGGAATAAACTACATCAGGGTTCATGACAGGTGTAAACAGTAAACATTGATCAGTACCCGATTCCATTCAGGAGGCTGACACGATACAGGCTTATTGGACCCTTGGACAGAGCAACCATATATTTTATTTATAACGCCTGTTGTTTTTCAAAAGGCCATGTCAGCTTTTAAAATAAAAATGAAGGTTTATTATATATGCGCAAAATATCTGAATCATTACGTCAAAGATGCTATGTCCCTCCATGTTAGATGCCCAAAATGGCAAAATTAAAACCCATGTATCGTATAGATAAATGATTAGTATGAAAAGCATTTTCAAAGCACTTTTTTATTTTTATTTAATTTGATATGGTTTATTTTATATCATTACTTTAGATTATCTTTTTGACACCAAAATTAACTTTCCCTTACAAAGTCCTGATCTAATCTATGACATTTAGACTTATAGTTTAAACAATGTTACTCTAGCTGTAACGACCAGGCGAGTTCTCTTTCAAATCGGTTGGGACTATTCCATTTTCACAATTTTCTATGTTTTGTCACAATTCTGATTTATTTCTTCTTATCAACACTGATTCACAAAGTGGCAAAAATATGCTTGATGATATATTTAGCATTTGTTTTCTGACGAGGATTTATATTATCCCATCTGATGATCTTATTATCTAATCACATTTCTTTAGTCTTTCATGTCGTGATCTGCATCATTTGTCTTTGTTTCTTTCAATATTTCCACCATCAAGTCCACTAGAATGATTCCTTTTGAATCCTTGTGCCGAGAGCATGAAAACACTCTGGTGCGGAGTTTCTGTTCAACCACAGTCAACAAGCACCTGCAAGAGTCTGAGACCCGGGCTCACAGAAATAGACATCAGGATCAGGTTTTTGCAAACGAAATACATAAAAAAAGCTGTTTCAGTCTCCATCACTTTATATCACTCTGCTTTAAGCTGAGGAATTGATACGGTGGATATCAATGTATCAGTGGATTTTTTTTTATTTTCCACCAATCACCTGCTCTCTGCTGGAGTTGTGGGATTAACCTAAAAAAAAAAAGAAAGAGAAAACACAGAGGGTGGCAGGGGAGGTGGTGATGAGCACGCAATAGCTCACAAGGGACTCCGTAGTGGAGAAGGAGAGAGATGGATCGAGAATGTAATTTTAAATGAAAGTCTATTTAACCTGCTGCGAATGGCATGACCCCCATCCTCGCCTCAGAGCCCATCACTGTTAAAAGGATCATTTTCAGAATTCAATCCAAAAACTTCAGCAGGCTGCAATTTACACTCTCTCCTCTCTCTTCTGCGTCTCCTCTTCCCCTCCGGTATGTATCAGCCATAGCCTGAGCCTCACAACAAACGAAAAAATAACGAGAAAAAAACCCACGTCCAGACAGGTTTACGAGTTCTTTCATCCATTTTTTAAATCTATTTTAAAGCAACAGCTTTTTTGTGACACCCCTGAGATTGGAACTGGAATAAGAAGTCAATGGATCTCTGCAGAGTTTAGTTAAGGGGCAGGGCTGTCGGTATTAGTGGATATAAACTCGGCTAACTTCTGAAAGTTTACAGAAGTTTTGTTTTCCATGCAGAAAGCACAGCTGTGCTTCCCTTGGAGCGTATTCCCCCTTTGTGCCGCACATTTCTTTCTCTGAGCCTCTGTGTCAGTGCAAGCTCTCATCTGCATTCTAAGCAGATGCAGCGTTACGTGATTGAATTTATCTGCAACTTTTTCTGTGGTGTCACAAACTCCCGAGCTTGTTTATTTCCACGCAAATCAATATAATGAGTGTAATAACAATATAAAACATTATGCCTTTTTCCCTGCCCGGTCACAAACAGACGCGCGTAATACAGACGGGTATTTAGAGTCGCTCTGTAATTTGGGGGCCACAATTTGATTCATTTATCCGCACACTGTTATTAACCCTGTAGAAAAAGAGATGTCAGCCGCCATTTCAGCCAGCAGGACATCCGCGCTTTGTTTAAATGCACTAATTACGCGTATACATCAGAGGGGGGGAGGGAGGGGACTGAATAGTCTGGGCGCAATTTTCACATTTTCAATTTTCCATCTATTTGACGTGCAGGTGAAGTGATAGCAAAAAAAGAAAAAAACAGAAGAAAAAAATAAGGGCCTGCATTTCGTTTGTACCAGCATCATTACCACCTCTTCCGTATTTTTATTACATCATAATACCGAGTTGTATGCTTCTTTGTTTTTTTCCACGCACGGATGATGAGGGCCAAACACATCAGTCGTTTTTAGAGATGTTTTTTATATTTAATTTTTTTTTTAGACGTTTACAAGTTCTGGTAAGGATGTGACGGTTTCGTACATGACCGAGCGCCTCTGATCCACTTTTCTATTTTCGTCCATGGACTGTCATCTTCTTCAGTGAGGGGCCTTGGCAGAAGAAAGGCCATCCCAAAACCCTGGGCCATACCTTAGAGGTCATTCAAATGGCGCCATCTCCTGGACGAGGAATGAAACTGCTCAAACAAGCAAGGCCAGCTCATTAGAATCTAAACACAGTGGTTTAGTTGTTCCGTATACATCGTCCACACGCTAAATATCCCCCCCGAACTATCCAGCGTTAACACTGATCTCCTCTAGCCTCCTACCTGTCGTATTTTTATTCTTCCGAGCGGTTTAGATTAATCAAAACTGCATTTCTCTCCACTTAACAGTCAAGATCAGGAATGCTTTATCGCACACAAGTTTGTCCTTCGCGCGTAATTGCTGGACTCCTACACGCATCCACTGGCCTTGGTGACGCCGAACCATCCTCCATCAGTCCAAACGATGGGAAATAATTGGACACTTGGTCTTCTTAAGAGGACAAGCAGAAAGGAGAAGACGAAGAAAAAGGGCTGTGGGGGGAGTTGGTGGAAGAGTGTGTGCTTGGAGGGGAGGGAGGCTTTTAAGGCGCGCGTAAGCAAAGTTAATTAGCGGTTATTAACAGCCCGCATAATGAGAGCGAGAGGGAGTCAATTTAATGACTTTGTTAGCGCGGGTTCAGAGCGACAGGCAATGATCGAAACAACAAAGGCGAGCGCGCACGCAGCCATCATCCGTAATTTCCAGCGGTAATGCGGTCTGATCAGAAACAAAGGGTTCTAATTTCGTTCAACTGACTCGATAATTTGTCCTTATGTAAGGAAAATAATTAATGACTTAATGCTTCAACAGAAGTAGCTTTCAGTGAGGGGGGATTTGGGAGACCTCGTTTGCCGGAGAAGGTGGTAGCCTATAAGGAAATCAATTTCGAGGCCTATAATTATTTGCATCACGAATTTAAAACGCGGACGTGCGCTTTGGCTCCCGGTTAGTGTGCAGACAAGTGAGAACCTACGAGGAAAGCAGAGGAGGGGTTCAGAGTCTTCTTCCCCTCAGTCAGCTTGTGTATGGAAACAAATGAGGCACTTGGAACAGAAATGCACGCTGTGTTCAGAAACCAAAAGCTCTAAACTGAAATAAATACTTTACCACGAGGTCACTCGTGAGGCGCCTCGTGCTCTGGAGTTCGAAGGGGGCCTCACATCTATAGGCTATATCTTTTTCCTTGAACGCTTATGGCGCGACAGAATTATCCCAGACCTGCGTCTTCACGCATGATTTCATCATTACACAGACAGGTTGAGCCGGAGGGAAGATGGGAGCGCTATTATCGACTCGGTGCCGGCACGAGCCGCCTGCGGGCCACTCTGGGATTCATAGCAGGTGGACAGGTCACCCACACGAGAGCAGCAATTTCACGGCCTCGGTTGTCTCCTCTGATTACTGCTTTGATCACAGGAATCAAGAGCTAGAGACTCTTTTAAACCCTCTGCGAGGTCCGGCTTCGGCTCGCGAGCTGAAGAGGTCATCAGCATCATCATCATCATCATGACCACCATCATCCACCACCTCGACGCCATCACCATCATCTTCATCACCGCCAGTTGACCATGCAAACCTGGGGCGCGGTGTGTTTTCGGAACAGCGTTGCCCTTTTATTGATTGCGTGCCTTAATTTTAATTCGATTGCGCGAGTGTCAAAAATTCCGCAAGAATCATCCTAGTAATGAGATAATCAGAGTAATATATGCAAATCAGTTATGTTGCCAGCTTATCAAAACCGGAGTGCCCCCCCTTGAGTCTGAAGAAGTCCATTTATTCAGTTAGTGGCAATACCTTGCGCAAATGGCGCGATGCAAATGACAGTTGATTAGACTAAATTAAGAACCTCGTTTCTCTCTGACCTTGTCTGAGTTTTATGTAAATGCTTTTTTCTTGCTTTAATGGGACATTTAAAAAAAAAATCCATTTTACATTGTGGCCTTTGTAAACAGGAGTAACATATCTAGAAAAAAACAATGGTCAGCCTGAAATCCC